TGTCACGGGTCGCGCCAGGATGCCCGACTGACAGGGATGGCTGGGCGAATGCGTCGCTACGAGGATGAAGAGGCGGAGCGAGTGGCATCGCTCGAGCCGCTTCAAGGTGGTACAGGGTACCAGGTGTAGCCATTCCACATTTCGCAGTCTTCCAAGAAGATGACCCGAGGTCAAGGAGCGCTAAGGCGCCGAGAAGACGACAAGGACGGGAGGCGAGGACACCGCCCGATCCACGGTGGGCTCGATGGGAGGTGGGGCGTCGTCACTACCAGAAGGGATGCCGCCTGCACCCAGGCTGGCGTGCTCTCGGTGGAGCCAGGTGCAGAGCGACAGAGAAGGTTAGTCGTGATTTTTCCAAGTCTTGGAGAAGACAAAGCAACAAACAAGTTCATTTCTTTACGTGTTTAGCTCCTATTCCTACTCTTTCTACCTGTCCGGCTTCTTTGCGAAGTACTCACGACCCTCGGACTTGGAAGGACCGCGACAGTCAGCTATCATAAATTAGTGATACAAAATAGTTGCCACTCTACCAAAAGCTTAGTGGCCCGCTGTACTAAGCTATCGACATTATCGTCAATTATGTGAGCTAAAAGACGCAGTCCACAGCGTACTAGTTAAAGATGTGCTGAGAGGACTTTCGCTGAACTTCAAAAATTAGCGCAAGCTTTATTACAAGTACATTGGACGTGAAGCAAATTCTGAGAATTTTGCATGTGCATGAGGCATGACTAGCTGTTTCTGCATTTTTAGATAAACTGTCTGTGAGTGAGTTGCATTCATAGACACACGGGTACCCGATTAGAGACCCGTTTTGGTAAATGAAAATGGCCTCCGATTTTGGTAATGATTTAATTAGCCGAATGACGAATCTTAAAATTAGGTACCCGCTTCGGTACCCGGTGTTAGTAAGCTACAAACTTTTCGCCGCAGCCAAGCTCTACGACCTGTGAATACACTTGGTGACCATTATTAATGATACTCATTTTACAATTAATACTGGCGTTTTGAGAGCACAAATTTGTACAGTCGGGCAAAGAAGATAGACGCTTCGAATCATGCACTGCACTGTTCAGTGAGAACTCAACGTGGACGTTTCCGTTGACTACAAACAGAATATTATGGATATGGTAAAGGAAAACTTACTTATCAGAGCCGCATGGGCTTATTGACTCGCACATGTACGTGAGTTCTTGCCCGAGTATTTCAGCGTTACGTAACTCATATTACCCTTCTGTCACGAAAGGGTTGATACTAGCATACGATTTACCCCGTACCTTAATACTCTGCCACAGGTCAGAAGCACATGTATTAATACATGTACGTGGAATATGCACGTGTGCCCTGCAAGGTTAAGGAACATGGTAAAGATTTTTATGTATTAATAGTGTAGCACAGTGCATATCGTAGAAGCTTTCTTAAGTACCGGTGCGCTTCTACCGCTCTTCTCAGAGTATAGGTTGTATACGGCATCGTGCTCCGTAATACTGCGGTGCAAGTAGGAACACGGGCAGGTGTACAGTAATACATGCATACGGTACATTGTGACGTGAACACTACGCTCAAAAAGCCTTTCGGGGCGTTGAGGCATTTTCAAACTGACCATCCCTCCCAACTCATGCAGCTATACAACGCCATTACACTGGCAATCGTAGCCTTTCAGACCTCCACCGCGTCGAAAACAAAGTCGGCAAGCGACCTGAATGGCTGGTATCCCTGCTCTGTGTACACCTTCTCAGAAGAGGGTAGCTCGGCCGGTGAAGCCGCTGAGTGTGCTGTGTATAGCGCACCTTTGTGCTATCCTGGAATCTGTGAAGATCCCAAAAACGGCGACTCAGAGGTTGACATCTTCGTCAAACGTATACCGGCGACGGTAGGCAACCCCGACACTGCCTTGAATGTGTGGCTGCTTACGGGTGGACCTGGCTACTCATCCACTAGCAGTAAGTTCTGTTTAAAGTCGTTCAAATTACATTTACTGAATTGATACTAACTTTTGCGTAGTGGAGCCAATGATGGAGTCAGTGCACGCAGAGCTGGAGGGAAGCATGAACGTGTACACGATGGACCACCGCGGTACTGGGCGCAGTACACTATTTGACTGTGTTGCGGCGCAAGTCACTACCTCGGGGTCGCCTGTGGGCTCTGAAATTGACCCGTCCGAAGTTCCAGCATGTGCTCAAGATCTCCAAACCAAGTTTGGTGACCTGAGATCCTTCTCTGTGACGACTGCGGCGACGGATCTTGCAACGTTCATCTCGAAGCACACAAATGGCGCGAAAACTTATGTGTACGGCGTAAGCTACGGCACAATGTTTACACTACGCCTCATGCAGCTAGCTCCCCCGGAGGTGGCTGGGTATGTGCTTGAAGGCATCTCGTACACCCCTGGAGCTCCTGCTAACAAGTTCTTTTACACCTCAAATTGGGACACCCATTTCGGAGATGTTGGGGAAACGTTCATGGCACTTTGCGATAGCGATAGCGACTGCAAGACTCGTTTCCAACCCGACCTTCTCTCCGATGTTCTTCAGGGAGTAATCGAGCAGCTTGACAACAACCCGAACTCGACTTGTGGCGAGCTGATCTCCGGCACCTCAGACCTTCCGCCGTCTCATGCTCTACGGTCTGCACTTGGGACTGCGTTGATGGATTCAGACACGCGGACTCTTATCCCGCCGGTTGTTTACAGGCTCAAACGCTGCTCGCCTGAGGACGCGGATGTTTTAACACAATTCTTCACGAGTGTCAATTCAAATGGCGAAACGAAATCTCAAGACAGTGTATTCGAATCACCGTTACTGAATAACCTCATCGTATACTCTGAGATGACGGAGCGACCGCGGCCATCGATGTCCAAGCTGAAGACTCGTTTCACTGACTCCAAAATGAGCAGCGGAGGAGGTGAAGATTTGTCGTCGGCTTACCAATACTGCGCATTGTCGAAAGAGAAGTCAGCGTTATGTGATGAGCTCAATGTCGGCACGTATGACGCTAATGCCATTGTCTACAAGCGTGATCAGTACTGGAACAAGACCGTGGCGATTCCTAACAACGGCAGTGTCTTGCTGCTGAGTGGAAAGCTCGACCCTCAAACCCCTGACAAATATGCAAAAGTTCTGTTGGACGCGCTTGATGGCGAGGAAAAAGAACTTATCTCATTCGATTACGCTACGCATAACGGCGATACTTGGAGTCGATCCTGCGGAGAGAGCCTGACCGTGTCGTTTATACGCAATGGTGGTAATCTCGAGTCTTTGGACCGGTCGTGTCTAGACGAAATGCCACCGTTTAACCTGACAACGCCGGATGACATATTGTACAGCTTCTTCGGCACTAACGACGCCTACGACGGAGAGTACAATTCGAGTTTGGTTCCGTCTTCGTGAGTGAAGCTTTTTCTGGAAGACTATTCTCACTTGGCTTGCCCTACATTGGCAAAGGAAGTTTCAGATATGCATCCGCTAGCTTTACGGTTGGACGGTAGAGACATACAACATACGTGCATTGCAAAAGGTC